TACATTCATTGGAGAAATTTTATGTAAAGTGCGGAAGTTTTTAACATATTTTATATGTTTAATTTAATAATATGTAAGTAAATTTTTATACATATATTTTCTGTATTAAATTAAATACGTTTTATATATGTCGTAGATTAAATTAAATATAATTCATGTATTTTGAATAATAAGTCAAATTTAAATGCTTTTTATAGTAAATTAAATAGACTTTATACATTTGTGTATTGAATTAAATATGTTTTATATATTTTGTGTATTAAATTAAATATATTTTATATATTTGGTGTATTAAATTAAATATATTTTATATATTTTGTATATTAAATTAAATATCTATTAAATATCTTTCTATATTTTGTACATTAAATTAAATACACATTATTTTGTATACAAAATTAAATTATAACTAATAAAAAGTGGAACCAGAAAACGTCCTTGGAAATTCAACAGAAACTTCAGACACCAATTGCAAATTACCACTAAAAATATTAGTATAATAAGCAATATTAAAAAATGTTAAAACACGTGTCTCTATGCCAGATAAACGCAGCCGACCTTGCGATATAATGGAAAATGTATCATTACCTATATCGTGCACATAATGTGTATTTGTTTATAACTTTGCAAACGTATATCGATATACTTCGCGTATTACCATTGTTCTTATCGATTATTTTCTTTAGTTTATTCGTTTAAAAGAACACACTGTATAAATAATAAAACAAATATTTATAAAGCAAAATGATACTCCGGCAAAAATAAATAAGACATTTAACTAAAACTTTATAGATAATTATTAATTTTATAGATTTTATAGACGACGTAAATATACGTCAAAAGGACAAAAGTTGATTAATATAACATACATATCTCTTTCGTATAAATCTTGTAAAAATAAAAAAGATTCCTTATAGGAAACTTGAATACACAATTTTATAAAGCATGATAACTTTCACTATTTATAACATGTTTTATTTTGAATGCAAAATATTCACACCAGCAAAAGTGTTGCTTCTATCTTTAAATATTACTTCATCTAATTACAGAACTGACATCTTTATCATTTAAAATTCAGTGAAATCTGAAATCAGTCTATTAATTCTTGTCTGACAAACATTTCCTCTTAATATCTCCCAGAAATGAAAATACATTGATATGATATTTGAATATTTATTTCATCGTCACTACGCGTGATGAGTAATATACGAAATATCAACAAGTACATTGTCGTTTAATCGCTTGTAATAAAATATTGCTAAACAGTAAGTATCACATTTTTCCTTATTGGTATTTATACCAGTTATTTACTGGTTAGGTTAGGTTTGATTAAGTTTATACATTTGATGTTTTTCTAAAAAAAAATTCTGATATATTTTACTAAAAAATGATAGATACCTTGTACATTAATGATTGTATTAATTTAGTGAAAATATAACAAATAAGTGAAAATCTAACAAATAACAAAATTAACTATCTACAAAATTTCAAGTGCAATTTTTTTATCTAAACCTATTATATTTAAATAGAATTAAATCGCGAATTAAGTCAAATAGAATTTTCTTATAATACTATATTATTTACGACAAACAAAAAGAATATTTTCGTACTGTTGACGTACTTACTCAACATCGATTTGTTACGTGCATAGTCAGCAAAGCTCTATAGATGTAAGTAAAAGTGCGGCGATATATTATTTAATGTAAGAATATAAAAACGTAGTTTTCTAAAAACAGAAATAATTGCGGTAATATCTTATTAACGACCACTTCAGGCATTACTTATTACACGAATAACGTATTTCATGCATGAAAATGTTACCATAGTAAACTTATCGACTCGTCTTTGGTTTTTTCGTCGATACAATAGCAAATTCGGTTACAATGCAGTATTACGTTATCTGTGCTATTATCGAAATATTGTCAGAGAAGGTACCATAAAGTATTATACCAGCATGAATCAACCTTTACGCCCACTTCTCAATTCATCCCTCGTACTTTCTACGATAACCTCGATATTTTGTATCTGATGTATCGACTGGTAAAAGTGCAAGTATACCTGTTTCAATTATTCTCAAAACTACTTTACAATAATTAGAAAACACTACTTTTGCAATAAATAGGATTTAATAAATTTTATATATGGTAAAAGTGCAAGTACTTCATACCTGTTTCAATTATTCTTAAAACTACTTTACAATAATTAGAAAACACTACTTTTGCAATAAATAGTTTAATAAAATTTACATATGGTAAAAGTGCAAGTATACCTGTTTCAATTATTCTCAAAACAACTTTACAATAATTAGAAAACACTACTTTTGCAATATATAGTTTAATAAATTTTACATATACAATTCATAGCTTTAAACGTCAAATTACAAATCAAATTTCATTAATACAATGAAACTGTTCCTCCATTTGTAGATTACGTGAAATGCATGTTTTGCTTTAATTCATAAAATTACTTCATACTTTCATTTCACTAATAACTGACATTAAATATCGCTTAATATGAAATATAAATACAAATCGCAAAATGAAAAAAAATATAAAATACAAATCGATAGTTACTGTTTATATCAAAAACTTAAATTTCCACACCAAAAATAATTGCTTTCTCATTTATTACTGAATTTCTTAATTTGACTACGAACTTAGAAAAGAATTTTAGTAATGCTTAAGAAATTAGTTTATTTTAAAAATCTCAGAAATTAGAATACAAAAGCATTCGTTCAGAAAATAAACATTTCAAAAATCTGGATAAGAAATCATAAAATATTTGATGGCTGCGTAAAGCACGCATAAAGAACATAAAAACGATGTAACACCGAGAGAGCACGAAACCGTGTAACATTTCACGTGTACACAAGCGGCAACAAATTTTGACATAGATAATTTAAAAGCGAGAATCTCGCACGCAAATACGAGATTAGTCTGTCATAAAGCAACTTATCTCTGTTCCGATTACAATCTTAATTGAGCGTGTCAAATCCCTTTAGATCGAAACCCCTAGTATGTAAATACCTATGTACAGTTTCCACATAATTGAGCATTTACATGGCTCAAGTTACATCGCGCAGAGACACCATTTTACGGTATTACTTATTTTCTATAACGCAACGAGACACTGTCTAATTAAAGTCCAGATCGCAACGCTTTTAAGACTCTAACTTTATGAAAACTTATTAACCCTTTGCACTCCTATGTCGAATGTGGCTCGACATTTCCATGGATCCTATAAATAATTCGGATAAATAGGTTGAATACGTATATTATTATCTATTTACTGCTTGTAATAAAAGAAAAATGTTTTTGCTACATACTCCACCCTGTTGCCATACATTTTACTGAACACTCTTTTCTTCATCTACTTTGTAAATTAAGGAGTCGTTAGATAAAAGAAATTAAGGAGTGCAAAGCGTTAAAGAATGAAGATATAAATCTACGATTTATTCGGTTTATAAGATACAAGATCCAGGTCAGCCTCGAAGAAGCAAACTGCAATGTTTATGAAATATTAGCGTGCGTTGGAACCGCCATCTCACCGTGAGAAACTGAAAATTTGAAATGTCTGAAATTGTTGATGTTTACGCGTTCCCATGACTATTTAGAAAAATTAAAATGACCTTGAAATCTCTGAAAACGTTTACAAATATAATTGCTACTACACGAATTTTCGCATAACTTTGATAGTGATTGAACCACTTTCAGTGACCCAAGTTATACAAATAGTGAAACAAATGTAAATAATGATATGATAACGTTTTTATCTTAATCCTTGAATATATTCTACTATGTACACGTTATTATTCTATAAATAACGTGACACGTAAAGTAATTAACTGTTGAAAGTGCAATTTACAAAGAGCGACACTTGTCGGTAAAGGGTGGAGATAATTGATTTCTATTCATGTTATGATTAAGACAAACTAGATTCGATCGGGCACTATAGTCAGCTATTAATCATTTGTCTAGTAATTGTTACTATAGTTTAACAGTGAACAGTCTGCAGTTTAACAATTTTTATAGATATAAAGTTAAGTGTTTGAAATTTTGAGAAATGAAAAATAAGTGAAGTAGGAAATTGGGTGAATTTTGAGTTTTTATTTGTGTGTCTGTTAATTATAAAAAGGGTGGAGAACAGCTATAATGATTGAAGGTTGCGGTTATTTGTATACAGTTTCATGTTTCATATACATTTTGCAAATTAATAATAAATTATTTAGTGTGATGATTTAACAGGATAGTGTAGTTATAGTATAGTTATAACATAATTTTAATGTACATGTAGGATAGTTGTAATTATTGTATGGCATAGTTGTAATATAGTATAGTAGTATATTTGCATGATAGTTATAGTACAGTTGTAGTACAGTAATAGTATAGCTATAGTATGATTATAGTATAGTAGAGTTATAGTATAGTTCTAGAATAGTTATAGCATAGTTACAGTATAATTATAACATAGTTACAGTATACCACTTCTTCAAATTAACACTTCAATTTCTTCACACCACAGTTCACATTTTAAGCAGTCTCAAAATTTCGTACTAATCAACGTTATTACACCAACGCAAAAATGAAATAACCCGTTATATATTTCAAAAAGATAATAAAAATAAACACGCCTTACGCAATGATATCTTTTATCAGTCCCAGGTACAGATACATACTAAACTGTTATGGTTGAAGTTTTACATTACCAGTAACAACCAATATCACTTGTAAAAAGTACGAAAAAACACTTGGTATCAAAATGATAAACGTTATTTCGTCAGTGCTATTTAAAATACCGTTTAAATCTGCTATCACACCGTTTAAGAAGCTATAAGTTCCCGAAAAGTATAAGATAAATTATGTATAGACCGAAATGTATTTTCAATAAATTATCGAGACGTAGTTTCAATAAACCGGGGTTCAAAAAATGCGATGCCCGAAAGCTGTGCGAGCCATGCGAATAGCGAAATTGATAAAGATGCCGGAGACAAGTGAACTCACCATTTCAAAAGTGCGTTGAGGAATGACACCACGTGTTTAGCCGCGAGATACGAGTAACAGTGCACCACGAAGATGCACCTCGATGATGCACCCACCCTTGGTCACATGTCCAAATCGTTCACGTCGGGCACCACCTATGCGCGAGATTATTCATTCCTGATCGAGCAGTTCACGTAGTAGACGGTTGGCCTAGCCCGTCGCTTCTGTCCTCTCACTACATCCTCCTCCTACTCCAACACTACCTCTTTTTCCTGCTATTCCTCCTCCTCTTCCACCTCCTCTTCGTCACCCTGTTTCCACCGCTGGGTATGCGCAGTTCCTTTTCCCGTTTCGTGGACACTGCGCGTTGAACGTACGCCTTTCACCCCCTTACACCCCATCGTCAGTACCCCCAGAACTTTGTCGGTACTACACGTATCGAGATACCAAGGGGAAAATCTATAAGAGCCGCGTCTGCGCTCTACCATGGAGAAATTTGCACGCCTAAGCCTCCTTCAGCCTCACGAACTTAATCGTCATGCAAGCGTATCCTGTACACTCGGGTGCAACGCTGGCTTCCTTTCGTTGGATACATTTGCTAATTTTTGTACTGGAGGGTGTACAGTTTGGAATTTTATTATTATGTTTACTGTTTTAATATTTGTTGTTGAAATTTGCGGATCTGGATATTTGAGAATTTTAGCTTTATCGAACGAGTTCTCTAATCTCTATTTTCGAGTTCTTTTAAGTTCTCGTGTTCCTCAATTTGGAAATTTCTAAATTTTTAGGTACACAATTTTTAAGGATACAAATTTGAATTCTTTAATTTTCAAATTTTTAAGTTCAGTAATTCCAAAATTTTCAAGACCTTATATTTCTAAGTTTTCAAATTTTGGACTTCAATTTTGCTAGTTCCAAACCATCAAATTTCATAAATTTCCAAATTTAGATCTCCAAATTCTTGGATTTTCCAACTCCTAAATTTCTAAGTTTATCTCCAAATTTCCAAATTCCCAATTCCCCAAATTTCTATTATTTAAATAGAATTCCCAATCTCTCAAGCCCCAAAATTTCAAAAGCCCAAACTCCAAAATTTTGAAATCTTCTCCTCCCCAAGTTCCCAATTTCCCAAATCCTCAAATTCGATTTCTGCAGTTCCAAATTTCTAAAATTTCAAATTTGCAAATTCACCAACTAGTTTAAGACCTCTTTGCATTCGGTAATTTGTTCACCTTTCTGCCTTTTCCCCAAAAATGTCAGATTTGCTCTTGACTGTACTCCCATGAGGATCTTAGTTGTTTCACAGAAATTATCGCACAATCCCAAGAAAGAATTAGCGCTTTCAACGAAAACTACTTCAGAGTTCCTGTAAATTATACATACATTCTCTCATGCAGTGTTTGTATAATCCATAGAATTAATAAAAAGAGATTTGCATAACATAACACATATTTTCATATGTAAATTTAATCATCGACAAATATTCAGATACACAAAAATAATTGAAGAACAGAATTAAAAATGGCTTCAAATGACCGAAGAAGATGTTTGAGGATAACCATATCGTATTCAAATTCAGAAATAATATATAATAATAATATGTTCCAAATTAAATAATAATTTAAGAAATAATATATTCCAAATTTAGAAATGTCTGAGGTTAACAATCTATTCTCGGTTTAAAACAAACAGGCAAATCACATGTATTAGACATAGTCATGCAGAGACTTGGATGGCTTGAGAGCTTAAATCTACTTTACTACCAGCTCTATGTAAATATTAGGCCCTGTACGAATTCACGGTGTTAATTAAACACTAAGAGCACGATTACTATCTTTGTCACACAAGATTAAGTACAGGAGAAATGCAGGTATTAATAGTACATCTCTATCACAGAGATGCAACTCAAACATTTTCTGAAACAGTCATATTCTATAAAGTGAGCTCTGAGAATGAAGACAACTCTATTTTCCTTATTTCTCTATCTTATTGATATGATTGCTATAACCAAGCATACTACATACACGTACTACATGTACATACTGTATATGTGAAAATTTTCACAATTTGCTACATGTGACGATAAATAATTTACGTCAAGGAATGCTTTGCGTTTTAACAAAATAACATTCGTTTTAGTACTTTGATCCTAGCTCTTCGTTAGTGTCCTTGTGAGAGAACTATACCAATTAATTCATGTAACTTAGAACCGCTTTGATAATTTATTTTCTGTCGAAGCTATTTGTTTTTCGCGCTTCAATCCATGTTGCGTTTTTTCTTTTTTAAAATAATATTCTTTTGTTTTCTCTAACGCGTCTCTTGGCCCCAGTCGTGAGCGTGATGCGTGCATTAAGAACAATAAAAGTTTCCTTTTGATAGTGAGTTTCGTAGTTTGATTTTTTCCTGAGTCTCTCACCCTTGCGTCGCGAAGATACCAGACAATTTACCTCAACATTTTCCTTCATCTATTAAATCTGTTGAATCACCTGTTAAATAAATACGATGAAGTGTTTTTTATGTTTTCAAACTAATCTAGCAAACACGGTAGTTTAATTTAAAAATGTTTTATCAAATCGATCAAACTATCAGCCGATAAAAGATTCATAGTGTGTAAGAGGCATGGACAAGATAAAGCTTCCTCTGTCCCTGGGCCTCTCGGTCTTGTGTGACACACGCTATGAGAAACGTATGGAAGAATGTGACAATCGTAAAGTATACAAAAATTAAACCATGTGACCTCGAGAAAGTGAAGAGGGGGAAGTAGCCATCTCGCTTTTGAGTCTACCTATGCCGTCTTTGATGTCGCCGCCGAGCTTGAAAGCGTTGGAAAGCGTTCCAGCTCAATTTGCTACTTGCCCGTGCCTGGAGCTAATGTTCATTCTTCCTATGCCTAAATAGTGGAGAGGAAGAACAAATATCCTTTGATCAGAACGCATCATATCGTTACAAAGATCTATTCTGTTTGAGATGCTTTTTTGTATACAATAAATAAATCACACAAAACGTAGAAAAAATAATTTTAAGTAAACTTGATTTTGTGAATGAGTATGATATTGTTAAAACTATTATGTAACCCCTGAAAATGTGAAGATTAGATAAATCTTATAGTTAAGCTAGATATTTGATTAAAGATATTAGAGTATTATCGAATCTTCTACTAATCAGAAGATTAAGAGAAACAGTTGTTAAAAAATGTGAGGCACTTGGAAACTTCATTCTGAATTATAGTAGTTACAAAGATATAGTGTTACCATAAATCTTGTCAATAAATAAAAAATAGGTGGTTCATATTCAACGTCAATGACCACACATCCATATTTCCTAGCCGTTCATATATTCTAACTCTACAATAAATTTTGCATCATAGATATTCAGCATTGAAGAACATGTATAATGAACATAAAAATATAGCATAATTATATAACAACTGTACATTTTCTATCTATACATTTTCTAATATTAAAAGAGTGACATAATGATGATTGTAACGATGATGAATAACACTGTAACTCGTACGCATTGATACTGAAGCTACAGTGTTGATATCAGGTGTCGATATGTACTGCACGTGACAGATAAATTGATATATGGGACGCCACAGAACCAAGGGGATTTGGCAATCCTCCTGGGAGAAATAGGAAACCGTGGTCACGTTTTTGATTGATTGCCGCCATGCTAATCCAAAGCTGAATGTAAAGAAAAATCGTCTGAGGGCAGTAGTGGACGCAGGTGGCGGTAAAATTCAAATCCACATGAAAGAAAATGAATTTTTGTAATAAAAAAAATATTTCATTTAATAGAATCATTGATAATTGTATTTAATATTTGGAGAAACTTTAATCTTCCGTATTTTACTGTTAGCAACAAAAAGAGAAAAAGTATTTTCAATAAAGTTATCGACATCGTATGTCAATGAAAGTTACCTATAGCTGATTAATCCTTTTTTATATCAGATAAGTATGTAGTTCACCCTGTTCGTCGGAAGATGACGCCACTTGTTCCATTTTCGTAAAAATTCAATTAATTTTGATTTTATTGATCAATATGCTATATACTTATTAATATCGATGTTATACTCTTTATAAAATATTTCGTGTGTCCATACATGCGAATTATGTGTTCAGAACAATTCGTATACTATACTATACCTCATCGATAATATAGGGAATGATATAAAAATGGCAAAAAATTTTCTTTCGACCAAACACCATTCTCACAGATATCTTCTTTTGCAAAAAGGAGTTTATTTGAAAAATTCGTTTGATATCGAAACATGACGGTTTTCCGAATTTTAATTTTCGTAATTGACTGTAGATATGACAGTTACTGTTTGTATTTTACTAACAGTAGCACTCACAGTCAGTGTTAGGCAGTCCCAGTACATGCGCAGTAAGCTATCCGTAGAAATCCTTAGTAGCGTATACACTTTGATGAAATATAAGGTATCATTAGGCCCTAGTAAGGAAAACAAAATAAATCTGAAGAAAATTGCAGGAAAGAGAATAAAAGGGTTAAATAATACAACAGATTATATATAATAAAAGTAATATTAAATTTATTTATGATTATTATTATTTTTTACGTTTCCAGCCGATTTGTTATATGAATACCAATATTTGTTGCAAGAGCAAAGAAAAAAGATACCGCTCGATTTTTATCGGATCTATGCATGTTAACAAAATAAAATCCATGTATTTCTTTGTTATCGTTTCTCTGATATTATAATTTTCACACGTATAAAATATAGTTATTCAAAGAGGTCCTTCCAAGTCGTTTTCCTTAAATAATAAATTATTAAAACATTTAGTGTCTTAAAAGTTATTGTGCTTTTGTGTTATTTCAAATATAATAATCTCCTATATTCCATCATGTTATTCCCATTATATTATATTATATGTATAATTCACGATATATGTATACATGTATGTATATTAATAAATAATCATTTTGCAACATATCTGCAAGATTAAGTTAAAAAAAATTAATAAATTTAAATAATTACAACAATAAATTTGTTAATAAACTACCAAAAAATATAAAATTATAAAAAATATGACGTTAGAATAATTATACAGCAACCAATGAGAGTGGCTGCACGCTATTGGTGGATTACATGATGTCTGATTGGCTACTGTACGCTAGCAATCACTCTTGCACTTTGATTTGATCTATTGGTCGATTACGTGATGTCTAATTGGCTACTGTAAACTACCAATCGCACTTACACTTGAAGAGGTCGCCGCTGCTCAGTTTTGTTTTGAAAGTCGAGGAGGTCCGATCGGCCCTGTCAACACTTACCGGTACGAGTCAAGGATTTACTTTACCGATATTGTGCTTGT